TATTCAAAATCATGAGCGTTGGTTACGCGATGGGTATTGGGGCAAGGAATGTATTGTATCTTTGGTCTTGGTCACACTGTCGAAATCTCTGTTGTGTTTTCTTTGACTGTCCATTGTGGACAGCCGGATAGCGTCTCTCGCTAAATATTCTCTCGCTGAGAGCCGCGCAGCGCAGAGCAGAGCACAGCAGAGCAGAGCAAGGGGTACCAAACGACAGCTGGCCCGCGCGGGTGCAGCTTCCAACTCGTCCTCCTCCCAACAAACCATTCATTTCGTGCCTCAAACACAGGAGCTTATTGACCTGGGTTACGACATGTCTCCACCCTGCGACCGCTTCGGCCGGACACCCGAGACTGTCGCGGAACGTCACGACCAAGGAGGGGTTAGATCCCTCATTCGCCGCAGTTTGGCGCTCCTTGACGTTCAGCGCTTGACACGCGGTTTCCTAGGCCGCCAGAAGGCGAAGCGGATAAAGGCCGCGTGGGCGAGGGGCGCGAATAAGGAGGCCGAGAGAACCCTACTCGCTGGTGGTGGCGGCGACGACGACGGGGAGGTAGGGGTGGAAGCAGGCGGTGTGGGCGAAGAAGATGGTGGACAGGGTGCGGAGCTGGAAGCAGTAGGCGGTGCCGATGACGCGACCGCAGGCGGCGGCCCCTCCGTTGCCTTGTAGCGGGAACGCCCGATGCCACATGATCAACAAGAGATAAGAATCAACACGAAACCGCCGGCAGCCCGTGTGAATTCACATGTGGTTGTTCAAGCAAAAACAAAGTAGTTGATGCTATCGCTGTGAGGACGACGGCGCCGATGGTGCGACTAGAACATAAAACGTGACTGTTGCTGTTCGCCCCATGCCGCACATCGCCATAACGCCATGCCACACTGGTCAACCATGGCCCAGTTCTGACAATAATGCGCCAGGCAAAATGAAAGAATCTCAGTTGATGCGTTGGTGACGCCACATGCGTTCCCCAGAAGCAACAACATCACGCTGCAAACAACAGGGTCTCGAACGGAGGGGTGTACAGGGTGGGATCGGCAAAATATAGATTCCAGGGAGAGTGTCAAGTCGTAGGACTGCCATCCTCACGAACACCCAACGAATGTGTTTGAAACGGAAGATATGCTCAAGAGTGTCAAGTCGTAGGACTGCCATCCTCACGAACACCCAACGAATGTGTTTGAAACGGAAGATATGCTCAAGACCGGGCAACACAGAGTGCACCGTTTCCGGGCCTGACGCCTTCCAACAAAACGAACGTCCAGCGTCCAGCATCCGGAGCAATACAATCGAACCAGTCGCGTGTTACCGGAGAGCAGTTCGGCTGTGTCCCCAAGAGAGCTAATATTTGTCTTTTCAAATCTCTCGTTCTCCGGTCGGCTCTTCTCGGCTGTTTGCTGGTCCGGTTCCTTGACAGCGGCAAATTTACTGGCACACTATCTTATTCCTTGCGGGCGGGCAAGCTTTCGTATCGGCCACACGAGACGATGGTCACGTATCTACGACTTCGTAAAATCCTCACAGAATTCGCTTGGGGCTTTTCAAGACAACCAGGTAAGACCAGACCACTATTTGCCCTGGAAACGAGCTGTCCACTCCGTCGCCCAGACCGACACCTCGACCTCGTCTGGCCTTGCTTGCTGCGTGCACGAGAGAATGACCCGAGAAAGTCGTTTCTTGATCAAACATCCAACAACCGAAGCACGACTGACCCTGACCAAATCTCGTGCGAAACGAGTACCCTTAGCCCACGCGGTTCCTTGCACCAAGCGAAAATAAGCCCATTCGAAAACCTTCAACACGGCACTCACAGTCAGAGAAACTTCATACCAAGTCGTTTTCATCGATACAACATCCCGTCAACAGACAATCCTCCCTCTCTCATGCCTCGCCGTACAAGCGGATGAGCTCGTCGGACACCGCGGATGGGGTGAGGGCCCCGAGGTCGGTGAACAAAAGCGTGATGTACTCGGCCGACGTGTAGTCCACCGACGGACTTTTTTCATTTATTACGTAGTTTGGGCAGTCATATCACATCACGACCAATTTTATGCCACAATGACGACAAAGAACGAGAGAGAGAGAACAGATGAGGTCAAACCAAACCACACACACGAAGCAAACGAAGCCAAATACCACATGCGAGCACGCCAACGGGGGAGGAAGTAGCAACAAAGGCGGGGGAGGGGGCGGCG